CACCCATCGCTGCCCTCTGGCAGTGTGACCCCATTCCCTGTGTCCTGTCCCTCCATCCCTTGTCCCCAGTCCCTCTCCAGCTCTCCTGGAGCCCCTCCAGRCCCTGCAAGGGGCTCTGAGCTCTCCCTGGATCCTTCTCCTCTCCAGGTGAGCACCCCCAGCTCTCCCAGCCCGGCTCCAGAGGGGSTCCAGCCCTGCAGCAGCTCCGGGGCCTCCTCTGGGCTCTGTGCAGCAGCTCCAGCTCCTCCCTGTGCTGGGCCAGGGCTGGGGCAGCTCTGCAGGTGGGGGCTCACCTGAGCGGGGCACAGGGGGACAGTGAGCAGGGGGACAATGATCAGGGGGACAGTCCCTCCAAGGGGTCAATGACCAGGGAGACAATGACCAGAAGGACAATCCCTGCAGGGGGACAGTGACCAAGGGGACAATGACCAGGACACAATGACCAGGGGAACAATGACCAGAAGGACAATCCCTCCAGGGGGACAGTCCCTCCAGGGGGACAATGACCAGAAGGACAATCTCTCCAGGACAGAGCCCCCCCAGCTGCCCCAAGGCTGTTCCTACAGGAAAAGAGGAAGGAATAAACTCCATCTGGGCAGGAGCTGGAGGAGGTGACCCCAGGGACCTGAGCAGGGTTGAGCCTCCTCTCTCTGTCCCTGCGAGGTGACACTGCCCCTCTGGCCCCGGCCACCCTCGGGGGTACTTTTGGCTCCTTTGCTGCTGCTGCTGTCGGGAGGGCTGGCCCGGGTTACATAAGCAGCTGTCTCATCCCCGGGCCCCGCTGCTGATTTGGGTGTGAGCTGATTTACGCTGAGTTCACATCACCCTGAATGAGCAGTGCTGACCCTGCAGTGGCCCGGAAACCACGGAGCTGAGAGATCCCAGCACGGGGCAGCTCCCTGGGGCACAAGGGGTGGCATCCCAAATTTGGGGCTCTGGGACAGAGCCCTGGGTATGACAGCCCCGCTCAGATCCAGCCAGGAACATCCCAATACCTCCAAATCCACCCCCCATATCCACTGAGTATCGCTTGATGAAAACCCCGGCAACCATCTGGCTTCCGAGGGGAAAATCCTAAAATTCAGCCTCCATGGTACCCTAAACACCTTTCAGGTGCCCTTTATGGGGTTCTGCAGAATTTTCCTGGATGCTCTGCAAGGAATTCTCAGGCATCTGATTTGAGCCTGTGTTTGGGAGCTTCCAAGGGGACATTCCCAAAATTATCCTCTAAGGCACCCTGAACATCCTTCCAGGTCTCATATAGGAGTTTCCACACTGTTTTCCTGGAAACTTCCCAATTTTCCCTTTTTTCTGCAGGAAATACTCAGGTATTGGCTCTGACCCATTTTTTTTTAAGTGTTCGGAGTTTGCCTCTCTTGTTTCTCTTGCTCATTCAGGTGAGATTTTCCATCTTCTCAGGTTGCCCTGAGAGGTTGTGGATTCCCCAYCYCTGGAAGTGTCCAAGGCCAGGCTGGATGGGGCTTRGARYACCCTGGSACAGTGGSAGSTGTCCCTGCCCATGGCWGGRGTGGCACTGGGTGGGGTTTAGRGTCCCTCCCAACCCATTCCATGATCYCATGACCTTCYCCAGGACACTTTGGAGCRATTCTTCACGTGCAGGACAGGGAGGTGTTTGGAAGGTTTTGGAGACCCTCCCCCATGCCCACAACCCCGTCCAGGCTGTCTGGAGCACAGGAGGCTGCAGGAACAGCCGGGATACTCACTAGGAAGCCCAGTACCAGGCGGAGTGGGTCTGGATGTAGCCCTTGACCGGTTCACTGCAAGGCAGAAGGAAA